CATTTTAGGGGTCGAAAATGTTCCGGATAACCAATATTTTTCGTAACATAACACGAATTTTCGAAAAATCGCAAAATTTGCCAAACAATTGACTTCATTTTAGACAAAATTGGCAGAATTTGTCCCATTTTTTTATTGCAAACCAAAATTGCCCGACTGTTGATCGAATATTGCCCGACTGCCGAAAAAACTGGGGGGACTACCGCCCCCCCCCCGCCCGGTACGCCTATGACTAAATTGCCTTCGACATTGGCAGTGTGCTAGACCTTTCAAATGCATGTCAAGACTCAAGGCTATTAGGCTATATAGTGATATGAAATAAGATATTATACATACGGATGTTTTTGAAGATCTGTTAGCATTTTAATACTTGAATAAGGATTGGAATTACAGGAGAATGACAGCATTTAATCTGATATTTTCAGTGTATAGATAGCTGAATAACTGCATGAATTGCATCCTATACTTTATTGTTTACTCTGTCTAATGCCAGAGGATTTTCCTACTTGCCTTGCCGGATAACTTGGCTACTGTAGAGAATGTTTAGTTTTCCCGACTTACTATACTTCACCCGGGAAACTCTGCAACCCTAGATAGAATGTATATGCCTTTCATTTAAAATAATAGCCCAGAAATGCATACAAATCATTAGGTATGTTTATAGCTTTCCTCTATTTCTAGCAGCTTATTCTTGCCTATTTTGTAATCATGTTTTTAAAACCTTTTGAATGATCCAAATTGTGTTTGTATTTTGTCATTGCGCAGCAATAATGGGGTAACTTGATTTCATATAAATAGACTGCTTTTTGTCCTGCCTGAGTGAGTAACTCACCTTGCCGGGTAACTCGCCTACTGATGTACTGATATGCATATTGGTGTATCAGTCATCTTTGAATTTCGTGAAATGACATGTATTATTGGTATCGGCAAAGTATTGGTCTTTTATTATCAGTTATCAGAATATCTGTGAATTTCCATATATCGGTGCATCACTAATACAGTTCAAGATTGTGTTTATATGAGAAAATGCCATCCTGCTTGCCGGGCCAATTTTGTTATGTTGACATTGTTTTGACAGTTGTTAAAAATAGCTTGCAGCTCGGCATCTTTGAACATTCATCCTGGCCCAGCCTGCTTGTGAGTGTATATGTGGAGAAATTTTCATCCCGATAAGCAACATTGTGGCATCAGAGCCAGTCTGCTTGTAGATCCATATAAACACATGATAATTTTTTCTAAATAAATATACTTAATGCAGTAAGATCTCGCTTACCAGGCTGTCCCGCTAAGCGGTCCAGCCCAGCTTCCATAAATACAGCTGGTAAGAACCATGAACAGCAACCGGAAGTAAACTATACTGTCAGTAGCTGTGTGATATGGTATTGGACAAATTATTACATTTCTTAATATTGCAGCTTTGGTGCATGACTAAAGGTTAATAGTCTACTGGGCACTTGCCACAAGAAAATGATAACTGAATCCAGGACATCTCATCTGCCTACAGCCATGTTTCTGCTTAATAAAATTTATATAAAACATATGTAGTTTAATACTCCCTCTTTCGTCTTCTACCAATATGAACAGGTGATTGGCCGATTATAACATTAACCCATTGAGTTGCATTGCACCCTGATGCACCCTACTTTAGTATTTTACTCTGTCTAACGCCAGACGATTTTACTTGTCAAGAGGAGAGCGCTGGCGCTTAATGGGAATAAACCCTTTGTATTAGATAAGAATATTATATTATAAATAATATTAAATTAATTATATTAATGAATTATATTATAAATGAATTATATTATAAATAATAAGTCATAAAATTAATACTGATCTATCTTTTTAACATAGACAGATTTTCATATTTTTTACTGGGGCGGTGCCAGAAATTTTAGGGGGGGTGGGTGAGCCGTGAGCAGGTGACTGAAGCAACACAAAGTGTCACCATACCCCAGTAAGGTATACTATATTCTAGAGGTGGAGCACTAGAGATGTGAGGAGGAGTCTAGAGACCAGAAAACAAAGTATCCCTGGAAAAATTTTAAAAAATCATGATTCCTAGCTTTGAAAAGAGTTTTTTGAAGTGGTCATATCAATGGATTTGGCATGTCCGATTGTCTGATGAGACTTGGGAGAGTTAATTAAAAGTTAAATGAACCTGTAAAAGTGTAAACCTAATAGGCCAATACACAATATGCTTTTACCAGTTTTATAAAGTCATTGACATTGTGTCGTTTGAATCCAATTACATTTTATGATGCAACTCCGATGTAAATAATAATTGGGGCATAAAGATTAAATCTAGGCAAGTCTATTTTCTAAAAGAATTAAAAACTAAAAATAATGTTTGTAAAAAATCCAAATGTTCCTTCCGAGCAAGCTAAGTATTTGCATGAGAAGGCACTGCAAACTCTATTCAGGGGAGATAATATAGTTTCAAAACTTTACAATTGCTCCAATAAACCAGTGAATGCACTGTCTTTTTCTATTTGAGTGTACTCCTACGTTTATTTTATATCATCAACACTCTGCATGTTGGAGTGGACTATTTAATTATTTTTTATTATGCCGAATGTTGGAGGTGGGGGTGTTGAAATAGTTTTTTGGAGGGGTGGTCATTTTGTTTGGGGGAGGAGTTATAGCTAATATTGGGGGGAGGGGTAGTGCACCCCCCGCCCCACAAAATCCGTCTATGCTTTTTAATCTAAAGAGTTAACTTAGGTAACTGAGGAGTGACTCAGATTAGCAAGCAAGTCTCCAGGTCTATTGTTCTTGCAATTTTGTATATATATAATAGCTATTTCAATTAAGGTTGTCCCCCAAGCAAAGCAGAAAAGTCGAATACAAGCGCGAAAGGTTGCTGAAAATCGCTAATAAATTCATTTATATTTCTGTATACACTACATATAATACTTAGTTTTACTGTAGAGTGATGATTACATTCTCAATATATAAGTAAACTTTTCCTTTTACAGATTACTAGCTGTATAAGGATGTATATATGATGGATCTCCAGTGGCATTTGCATGATGTGTTTGGAACAGTGTTTAATGTGCATTATAAAGAAATCTATGGACTTTGAACAAACGGTTGGTCAGATAATATTGCTTGTCATGTGGAAAAAGTTGAAAAATTACTGCATCAGGTCTTCAGGAGAACTTAAATTTGCTACAACACATTGCTGTGCAATCAGAACTACACCTAGTTGTATAACAGTGGCTGAAAAAAGAACTTGTATAAATTGACTATAATTTGATGTTTTGTATGTTACTCTGAGTGTATATCCACACCGGGCAGGCTGAAAAGTTAGCCTGACCATGGTGAGAATCGAACCCGCAACTAGTCTAATGCTCTGCTAACTGCATATACACTCAGAGTATCATCAAAAACAATATTCACCTGAGTAACTGTACATATATAAACACCCAAACAACACATTCTTAATAAGAAAATTCTTTTTAAGAAAAATTTCTTGATTTGAGAAATTATTTTCTTAAAATAAGAAATTATTTTCTTATTTTAAGAAAATTTTCTTATTTCAAGAATTTTTTTTCTTGGGAGAATAACAAGAAAATTTTCTTAATAGGAAAATTCTTTTTAAGAAAAATTTCTTGATTTGAGAAATTATTTTCTTAAAATAAGAAATTATTTTCTTATTTTAAGAAAATTTTCTTATTTCAAGAATTTTTTTTCTTGGGAGAATAACAAGAAAATTTTCTTAATAAGAAAATTCTTTTTAAGAAAAATTTCTTGTTTTAAGAAATTATTTTCTTAAAATAAGAAATTATTTTCTTATTTTAAGAAAATTTTCTTATTTCAAGAAAACTTTTTTCTTGGGAGAATAACAAGAAAATTTTCTTAATAAGAAAAAAAATTTCTTGATTTGAGAAAATATTTTCTTAAAATAAGAAAATATTTTCTCAATTTAAGAATTTTTTCTCAAGAAAATTTTCTTAATAAGAAAAATTTTCTTAAGAAAATTTTCTTATTAAGAAAATTTTCTTGTTATTCTCCCAAGAAAATATTTTCTTATTTCAAGAAAATTTTCTTAAAACAAGTTTTTTTTTTCTTAAAATAAGAAAATGATTTTTTGCTGTGTATATATATATATATATATATATATATATATATATATATATATATATATATATATATATATATATATAATATATATGCACGTACCATGCATATTTATTTGTTTTGGCTATTCATGAATCATGAGTTTATATACATTTGGCGCGCCGCAATGATTAATGACCGGCTGACTTTCCTTGCTCACTGAAGTCAAAATATAATATATTTCGGTAATTCATGTTCTAAAACAACAAGCTGAATATCGTACCTCGAGCTCAATTGAAAATAATCGGCACGACTTTTCGTCTTGACAGTGTCTTGTCAGTGTCGGGTCGACAGTGTCTTGATGAATGTAGACGTATACGCTATATGCTCATATAGCCATAGGGCTCACTATACAGCCACTACTCACTAACTGCATGTACATCAAAGTACACGAAATATCAAACTTTAATTTTCAGATACATATCACAAGGGCGTATAGCCATGATGGCAACATTCAGAAGGCGCTAGCTTCATGGGAAAAGTTCTGAAACAGCGGCCATTTTGCTGCATTCTGTATACAAATTTGTCACGAAAACGTTGCCACAATTGACGATTCCCCCTATTACGTTTTCGTAGCGCTTTGCATTGTGGTTATAGTGGGTATCACTGGTATTCAAGATGGTTTATTTTTTGTCCTGACCCGTGCAAGGACTTTTATAAAAAGATAGGGTCAGGTGAGCGATAGCCAACAGCAAAATATTCGCGAACAGGACACTAATCTGGCTTCTAAAAGTGAAATTATTGCTGCCGAAAATGCCGCATTTATACTGAGTTTAATAAAGCTCTATATACAGACTATAGGTATGGCTGATATGTTGGCTGGGCATAATTAAATTTTGTGTATTTCCATCGCCATCAGGATCGATCTTTGACTCTCACTAAGCTAATTTATCTAATAACTTACCTTGAAAATACTGATCACGACATATCAGCTCCGAATAACAATATGGAGTCTTCATGCACCTGTCAGAACAATAGCTGAGAAATAGAAAGTACAAAGTCAGCTTATATTATTGTTATATTGAGTCACATGCATGTACTGTATAATGATTGTTGTATTAATTAAACATTTAATAATCTATTCTGTGAACTTTTAGTTCATCAGCATGTAAAGTATGAACGAGAACTGGTATTTCCAAGAACAAGGAATATCGCAAGTCCTTACTGCAATCAAGTTTCTTTTTAGTGTTCAAAAACGAAACGACTTTGTTGACGACTAGTATACACAGAGTGTATGCAGAGGCGTGCATGCATGGACTTAGGTAACTAAACCTCAGAAGTACATCGCCAGTTTCTTTTGTTGCAAGATTTGTTGAAATGTGCGCATTCCGTGAAGGGAACTGCTTCGTTTTGGTTTATCAATTTATCATTGAAAATTACAATCATGCAAAAGAATGACTATACTGTATAGCTGTTAAAGTGATGACTGGTTACTGCTAAATTAGGGAAGCTCGAAGCCCTTTATAGTAAACCTTAGCTAGACTTTATATAGTAAACCTTGCATGCATGAGTCAGGGGCGCACATTCCGAAAATTTCTGGGGGGGTGCCAAATTTTTTGGGACCGACTTTCATGGCTCAGTATCCTAATAATAATAATAATAATAATAATAATAATAAAATCTTTATTTAAACTGCATAATTGTGTCAGCTGACAACACGATGATCGCATTCATCGCTGGTATTAATACAGGTGCAGAAATTCTCTTCAGTTCCTACCCGCCCTGCGCACGCTCCATCTCATTCTCAAAAAACTGCCAGTTTACTGTTTAAAGATTACAATCTAAAAATGATTAATAAACGCATTGGAGATTGCTCCAAT